TGGGGCTTTTCTCACTCGGTGAGTTCGATTTGATGACTCGATGAGTGACGTTGCTTTGCCGAGATACGGCGGGGATTTCTTCCGAGATCGTTTTATTCGGTGATCTTCGTACTCTGCTCCAGAAGATGCAACTTGGAAGGCGCTTTCCGCTGTCGCGGCTCACCCTCTCTGAATCACATCCATGAAGTGAGTTCGAGTAGCCGTTGATGCCCTGACTAGACAACGCAAAGCTATCTCAACGACACGTAAATACTACCATACTGAGAGTCAGGGACAGGTCAGAAACGGCAGAAAGGGAAAGAACCAAGCGAACGAAGAAGCGAGGGAAGATCATGGTCCCATCGCAGTCTGGGACTTTCAACACCCGAATTAATGGTCGCTCTGATTATCGTCACTTGTGATCTTTAGCCTTGGTCGAGGACGTGGCCTCAGGATTGGCACCTTTCTCACCGCCACGAGGCTTCTTATTGGGTGGTTCACGCCGGTCTCCGCCCTTACGGTGTTGCTTCTGACCGCGGCGTTTGGTCTCAGCGGATAAGTTGCTTCTGGAGCTACTCTGCGACTTACTCCGGGCTTCAGCGGCCGCTTCACTAGCACGAATGCTGAGATCGTCATGGTATTTGGCCATCTTCAACATTGCTCTGGGCAAGGACTTTCCTTGCCTCAAAAGGTCGACAACCCTCTCTTGGATGAGGTTGTGGTACTCGATGGCACCATAAGGACCCGAGGCTCGACCATTAGGACCGAAGGACTTCCTTGAGGTGGCCTGAGCACAATTTAGCAGATGTGTGAGAAGTGGTCCCATCTGCAATGTGTCGCACTCACTGTCAGAGTTGGCCTTGCAGTTTCCGATCAGAACCATCTCAATAGAGCTTTGAAGACATTGCTCATCATACCGGGATCCTCGTTGGGCCGGAAGAAGCACTTGATCGGGAGCGCCAGAACGTGTCTGATCTTGTCAGCATGACCACTGCTCAGACAACTCGAATGAACCTCCTTGACCAGTGAGTCTTCGGGATGGAGGTCGTGGCACATACCCCTAAGGTAGGGAGTGCCACTGAGAAGGGCTTCAAGATTGGGGATGGACTTGTTTTGTTTGTTGGTACCGTCTTGACTCATTTGAAGGAAGGCTGCCAGCCCACTCGATAGGTCGGTGATGGTTTGGGAAGAACACACAGGGGCACCAGAGTCCTTCCACTTAGCGGATCCTTCAGCATTGTCACCGTTGTCAGTCTTGCCGGCGGTCATCGCAGCGACTCGGGCTGCTTCGATCTCTTCACGAGTCGGCTGATCATCTGCGGGCATCATGTGTGAGGAGGAAGAGCTGACAAAGTAAGTTGACAAAGTAAGCTAGCAAAAAGTCGCTCACAACAGTAGGTTGCGGGCGTGTAGAAGAGACCGACGACCATGTCTCACCGTCAACTGCGTGAGTTGGATTGACGGTCTGCTACGAAGCAGATGATGTCTCAGACACTAGTCACATTGATTCACATGCTCCCTGGAGGGGCACTTGCGAGTGGGTGGTGGGATCCCCTCGCTGGACAAGGGTCCGGTTCAGTCCTGAGACGTTCCCTGGAGAGTCTTGCCCGAGGTGCTCGAGTTGTCATAGAGGAGACAACGCCGGCGACCTCCTTCGCACGGTGCGAAGCTTCGCGATCCCTTCGTTCGCGGGTTGCTCCTCCATGGGTGCACTGCCCATTTGGAGGAACATAACACAACGCCAAAATAAAACAAAAGGACAATGAGCTGCCCTCCACCGATAACCAACCAACTTTGGT